GATGCCCTGGTGTTTATTATATTCTGACTTTTTTGACTGGGTAGGTAGAAACACAAATGTTGCCTTTTTCATTACTGTACATATATATAATTTGAATTCTTTGTTTAAATTTTTACCTTTTAGGGTATTCAGTTCAGAAACTTTCAATTGAGTCCTGTTTTCTTAGCTATAAAATATAGAAATACCTTCTCTACCAACTTGAAGGATTTTTATTTTTGGGCAGTATTGGAGTTTGAACTCAAGGCTTTATACTCACTAGGAAGGTGCTCTACTATTTGAGCCATCCATGCCCTACCCCCCACCTACTCTTTTTGCTTTAGTTATTTTTCAGATACAGTCTCCTGTTTTTGCCCGAGACCATCCTCCCACATAGCTGGAATCACCGACATGCACCACTACACCCACTTTATTGATTGAGATGGAGCCCTGCTAACTTTTCCTGAGATGGCCTTGAACCACAATTCTCCCAATCTTTGCCTCCCAAGTAGCTGAGATTATAGGTGTAAACCACTGGTTACCCAGCCCATTACTTGAGAGATTTTTACAAGGTTTAAATACTGTAAGGAAGAGCTGCTAACTTTTAAATATGTATGTATGTTAATAAATGAGGTTGGTTTGCAATTTAATTGTTCATCAAAGGATGTTGAAGTACCATGTTCCAGGTACTTTATTGATACTGGTGTATTGGGGTATAAACAGACATGGTTTCCACCCTGGAATATATAGGTACAAGGTCAAGAGAAATGGAGAGTAATTATCAAATTTGCTAATTCTAGGAGGAAAACTGTAAGGCACAACCAGAACAACTATGTCACCAAGCAAGGTCCCTCTCAGCTAACAATTGAGGAATGGGTAGTTGGCTACTTAGGAGCAGAGAAAATCATGTTCTTTACATGTCTCAAAAATCTTGAAGCAAGTCAGGGCATAGTGGTTCATACCCATAATCCTAACTACTCAGGAGGTAGGGATCAGGAGGATCTTGGTTCAAGGCCAGCCTGGGCAAAAAATTTTTAAGAGACCCCATCTAAACCACTGACTGAATATAATGGTATATGCCTGTCACCCCAGGTTCGAGGGGAAGACCAAATGGGAGGATCACAGTCTCAAAAATAGCCCATGTAAAAAGGGCTGGAGGGCATGGCTCACGAGGTGGAGCTCCTGCCTTGCAAGTAACTGCAAAGCCCTGAGTTTGACCCCCAGTACCTCCAAAGGAAAAAAACAAAGAAAGAAAGAAAACTTTGATTTGGTTTAGAAACTTGATGGAGGCACTGTGGCTGGACATTGTGGAGGGGAGAGGCAGTGCTGGCTGGGTAGGGAAGGAGTGAGCGCCTAGATGGAGCGCTGGCGGCCATGGTTGTTAATTGGGACTTCACTTAAAATACATTGGGAAGCTGAGGAAAGATTTCAGCTTGAGCACTGAGACAAGACTTAAACTTTATGGAGGGTAGACAGGTGAGCAGCAGTGGGGCCAGGAGGACCAGTTGGAGGTGACGGAAGAAGCTGAGAGAAATGATAGGGGCTCCTGTGGCATCAGGGGACCATTTCCAATTCAGGATATATTTTGGAAGTGGAACAAGAAAAACTTTCTGCTGTGTATTAAACAGGGTGAAATAAAGAAAAATGTCAGGAATTCTGGTAGGAAAAATATCAGTGGAATTTATTAAGGTGAGGAAAATGAAGGGGGGAGGTACAGATTTTAGGAGAAAAAAAATCAAGAGGCATCTATGAGGAGTGAATGGGGAATGGCAAGGGGGCAGGTGGATGCCAGCTTTGAAGCTCAGAGCGGAGATTAGAGCTAGAGAGAGGAATGTGGGAACCACTGACGGGAAGTGGTCAAAGCCCTGGGAAAGTATGCTGTGTTAAAAACATAACGAGAAGAGGGCCCAGAATTGAATTTTCTGGGATTTTCCTGTGTGTCCAGGCTGCGTAAAGGAGGAGTCTGAGAATGAGCAGCCAGAGAGGTCGGAGGGCAGCAGGAGAGGTCAGGGTGCTGAATCACAAGATGGAGAACGTGCAGGTCAGGAGAGCCTTCTTGTGGGGTTGGGGCTGCTAAGCAGAAGAGGATGCAGGCACAAGGGATGGTCTGTTGCCCTGATCATCGGAGCCATACCAATGGAGTAGGTGGGGTTGGAAGCTAGAGCAGAGAAAAGAGGAGGTAAAGAAGGCAGTAAGAGTCAGCAGCTTTTTAACTTTTTTAAGGCTGAGTCAGGAGTGGACAGCAGAGCAGTGTGGAGGCAGCTGGGGAGGGTGTGAGATTGAGAGAAGACTGCGTCATGATTTTGTGAGGTGGAAACACAGGAGCATGATCTGTACTTTCATAGCATCTGTCATATGTGTAGAAGATGAGGTGCAGGCCAGTATCCTAAGGTTTAAACAAGATGGAAGTTGATTTCTACCTCGCAGTATAATCCAGAGCAGGCAGGGTGGCTCTGATGTCCTCCTGAACGTGGCACATCTATGATTGTGTCAAGAAGACCAAATCTCTTGTTTTCATTCTCCAGCCAAAGGGAAAGGGAAACTTAAAGCAAGGGCCAAAACCAAAACCTTGAATAATTTTTTTTTTTGCTGTCTCTTTATCCAGACTTGATTATGTGGGCTTGCACTCATAGTAGTCAAAAGCTAGGGGTGGATGCCAGCTAACACTGACAGTTTCTTACTAAAGATGGAAGAAATGGGTTCGGGGAGTCTTTTATGCCTTAGACACGAAGTCCTTGAGGTAGGGAGGGTGGTAATGTTTTAATCTCTAGTGCATGAGTTGTACTTGGCTTATCCTTGGTTCCCAATAAGCACTTGGTAAATTGAATTGACTATTAAAATTAATCCTCTGCCTTCCAAAAACTGGAATTCCATTATGGGCTCTCAATTCTACACTGCCAGCACCTTTCTTCCTCCTCCACTGTTTTCTTTGTACTCAGACCTGCTTCCAGGATAAGCATACCAAAGAACATATAATATTTACTTTCAAGATCTGCTTGAAAATCTAAAATGTAAGAGAAAAAAAAAGAGGAAAATTTCTTAGCTTTGTTTGGATCACTCTCTTGCTCTCTGCCTGGACGTGATATTTACCTATGCTTTGGGCAGCTCAGCACATGTCACATTGATAGGTCTTTTATTCAACAGAAGGAATGCTCGTGATTGTGCAAAATAACCCCATGTAGATGGAAATATTTGTAATGTGCCCTTCTTCAAATTATTAATCTACTCCAATATGTGTTGTAAAGATAGGGACTAAATAGTGGCTTACTATAGAATAACTGGTTTTATTTTGCATGATCTTATTTTATATCAGGGAGTATATCATTTACCTAAGATATTGCACTATCCTTTTGCTCAGGATATTTTTTACAATGAAGTTAGAATTAGATAGGGGCTGGCAGAGGGGCTCAAGTGGTAGAGTGCCTGCCTAGCAAGCATGAAGCCTGACTTCAAACTCCAGTATGCCTAAAAAAAAAAGAATTACGTAGGAAGTTATATGAAATCTGAAATCTGAAATATTTACTTCTGAGTATATTTACTGCACTTACCTAAGATAAAAAAAATTACTTAAAATGTCAGTGCCTCCTTAGTATAGCAGCTCTCTTACTGTTTACAACAAAAATCTGTCGTAAAAACACAGCCATATCTTTCAGTAGGAGAAAGAAGCACCAGAGCAGTGTCGAGAGCTTTCTTGCAAGCTCTGTTACTATTGTACCTAACTGGGGGAGACTGGAGATGCAGAAAGGACAAAGGATAGAAGACAAACATGCATAAAGCTGGGGTCAGGTGTGCTGGGTGCTTGGATGGACGCATACAACAGCCTCATTGCTTCTTTTCTCTATTCTCTTCTTTTACTTTGCTTCTTTTCTTCTCTATTCTTTCAGGCCTTACTTCTTTACTATTCTTTAAAACCTCTTTACTTAGACCTGCAGTATCCCATGTTTTCTTCAATCTCTCTTAAAGCGCAGCCCTCAGACTTGCGCTGTCCCATGTTCTCTCTTAAAGTCTCAGACTTGCAGACACATAACAGCCAGCAGTAGCAGCAGCAGCATTCTCACAAGCAGCCCACCAATCCAAAACCCTGTCCTGCTTCAGCCAGTCTTTTATATACAGTGATAAATAAGGAGGTGGAGCAACAGTTCTCGGGGAGAGGCATGACATTGTAACAATAGAAACCTGCTCTTTACTTCCCTGAATGTAAACAACTTAGGAAAAGCACCTGTGCTGCATTTTTCCTTCCCCCTCTTCCGTAGCTGGAGCCTTGCCAAACTCAGCCTGTAGATCATTGAGCACAACTGTGCTTATGTCAAGTTCTCATAGGCTTCTCATAATCCGCTGTTCACACAGCAGGAAGTCTGGTGTGTGACCATATTCAGTTTTCTCATTTGGCACTTGTAGAAACTGAGGCGCAAACTGTGTATTCTGAGTAGCACACTGTTAGAAGTTAGTGGTTCTGTGTTGGAAGGTCTGCTCTTAAGATGTATCAACACACTATTATCTACTAAGATCTTTTAGATTATTATGAGAAATGAGGCAAACTCATCTTTCGGTGTTCTGGGGCAGTAGGAGGGAGCCAGGAAGATGAGAATTACCTTGGGAGGAAGGGGAGGTGGCACCCTTCCTGGCCTGTGCTTGTGTACATCTCTGGAGAAGCTTCTTTTGTAGTCGAAGCTTCTGATTCAAAAGGAATATACTTTTCTGAAATTAAATATGCTATTTAATGAGTATGACATTTTTGAAATGCCATGATCATCTGGGGCAAAAATCTAATAGGAATAAAACCCGCGAGCATTCCAAATGGGCTTTTACTCCCCGTTAAAGGTTCATTTTGAGCCACTGATGGGCACCATCTTAATGGGTCGTCTCCTGGGTGTGTGGAATGGGCTGCCTTGGTTGGTAAGCATCCCGTAGTCCTTCCCTGGCTGTCCTGAGCCTTTCAGGGTGGGCAGTTAGCATCCTGGTTCTCTTGCCAAGGGCAGGTCTATGCACCTAGTGACTAGATCTCACCTCTTTCCTGCTTGCAGAACAATCAACCATGACCACCGAATCGGGATCAGACTCGGAATCCAAGCCGGATCAAGAGGCCGAGCCTCAGGAGGCGGCAGGTCCCCAAGGGCACGAGGCGGAGCATCCTGGGCCTGCAGAGCCCCCGGCCGAGAGCGGGGAGGAGCCTGCGCTTGAGCAGTTTGCAGGAGCCGCGGCACACAGCACCCCCGTGCACAGAGAGGTGAGCGGTGCTGGTCCGCAGCTGGGCGGAAAAGCAATTACCCACCGTCTGCCCAGCCTCCCAGGCTCTGCTCTCAGCCCTCTCTTAGCACTAGGGCAACTGTGAGGGGTCATCTGCTTTGGTTCCTCTGGTCCCAGGGAGATGAATATGCAGACGATTTAAGACTTCTAGTGAATGATATCCCCTAGCCTTGCTCGGTCACTCCTTCCTTTGATTAAAACAGTTACACTGGAGTCTGGCCTGGTCTGGATTTATGGAACAGGTAGACAGCAAACTGGCCGCTCTAATTATACTCCTGGTTGTTCATTTCAAACTTGAAGGGTTGGGGTTGTTGAGATTTTTCCCAAACATCATTCCCAAGTATCTACTTTTAATGGTATTCAGGTAGGTCTCCTTTCTTCCTTTCTATGTATTTATATTTTCAACTCTAGATGTGTTATGTGTAGCTATTTCTTTTCTTTTAAAAAAAATTTTTTTGTGCTGGGTAGAGGTGCATTGTGGCATTTACAAAAGTTCTTACAATAGATCATACTTGATTTCACTCCTCCACCATTCTCCTTTAAGTATTTTTCTTTTAAAGGTTTTCACTCAAGGGGCAGGATTACAGCTCAGTGCTAGACTGTGTGTTTAGCATGGAGGCCCCATGTTCAATTCCCAGCATCACCAAAAAGAAAAAGAAAAACCATTCAAAAGAATAAAGTATGGTTCATACCCAGGCCTTGAATGAATCCATGTTTGAATTTCTTTTGTGTAAAGTTTCAAACTTGGAATCGATGTGTTTTTGAGTTCTTAATTATACCTTGTAAATAAATCTGGAGCTTGTAATTACTTGCAACTGACTTCTGATATACTTTGGAAGTACTTGTGTTGAGCTAGAAATTTTATAAGATATTGAGAGACAGGAAATTAGCAAATTATTAGTGAAACTCTCTGGAAGTCACCAAAATCTATGCTTACAGCCAGCTTATTTTATTTTATTTCTTGTCCCATGGCATTTGCAATTTCTACTCTTAACTAGTGTTAATAATAACATGGGTTTTTCACTCTTCTGATAGATGCTCTGTGTAGTCGAGAAAGTTTTGTGTTGAGAGCTGGGGATGCCATTCCAGCATCAGAACCTGCTGTTACTGGCATCATAGTTTTTCTTTACTTTTCCTTTCTTTTTGTGGAGTAATGATGGGAGTATTTAATACTTTTTAGTCACTTATTTTGTTTCCTTTAATCTTTAAAAAATTTAAATTACTAGTCTAGCTTTTCTTCATTCCTCTTAATTCTGAAATGAAATAGCATGCAAATGGAGAATACTTGAGAAAAGGATGAGTGTCTATGCCTAGGTGTGATTAAATGCAGTCAGGTACTGCTTAATGATGAGGTCCAGACTGAGAAATGCTTCATTAGGCAATTTTGTCATTTTATGAACATCATAGAGTGCTCTTACACAACTTTGATGTGTAGTAGTATACACACGCAGACGCACACACAGATATACACACACACAGAGACTATTGCTCTTAGGGTCATGATGAATACCATACATGGGATTAACTGAAATGTAAGCGAAATAGCTCGAGAAAAAGAAATGGTAAGCACTTGATGAAGGAGACTGCTGCTCTTGTAACATGCTGTTTTACAGTAAACTTTTCTTATAAGTCAAAGGAGTACACTCTAAAATAGCCTTCAGAGTGCAGTAATGACATAAATCAATAATGCAATCATTTACCATCATCAAATCTTATGTACTGTATATAAATATGTACTATGCTTCTATATAATGGGCAATGCAGTAGGTTTGTTTATACCAACATCGCAACAGACATTTGCACTATGACATTACAATGGCTATGATGTCACCAGGCAGTAGGAGTTTTTCAGCTCCATTATAATCTTGAGGGACCTCCATCATATGTGTGGTCTGTGGTTGACTAAGATGTTGTTCTGCAGTGTATGACTTCATCTTCTAGAGTCAGATGTTTAGAACCCAACAAGAGAAATGATACTAAGGCACCAGGGAAAGACATTTGGCCACACAGAGCTAAGACCTAAGTTAGTATCATCTTCCAGTTGTCACTGCTAGCCTCATAGGAGTCTTTCAGGCCCCCAGGCCTCACATTCTTATCTACAAAATGAAGAGCTCGGGAAAGATCATTTCTAAGATTCTTCCACAAAGTTCTTTACTTTATACCAGGAAGCCAGTTATGTTGAAGGTAAAATGAAATACGTTTTGGTACTTAACATATACTGATGATTAAAACATGGGTTTGGCTATATTTGAATTGATTTTTGTGACCTTATGAAAGTTTCCTAGGGCCCCCTGATCCAACTCTCCTCATCCACAAATGAGGATCTTAATACTTATATATCAGAGCTGCTGTGAACATTTAATGAAATAGAGGATTGCTAAAATGGTTGATACTGACATTTTAAAATTACGGTGCATCCTATGACTGATGGACATTTCATCTGAGGTACTTGGACTGCTCTGGGAGAGCAGGGTCCTACACTGAATGTTAAGATGTGTGTTTCTGTGGACTGTTGGTGCATATTTGCAGATGAATGGCAATGGTAGTCTGTCAAATGGTAGAATGCCAGACAGTCTGGCAAATTGAATTTGAACTGTGTTTTTTAAAATACATTCTAAGCCTCAGTGGTAGATTCATCTTTCAAGTGTTCCCAAAAAACCACTATGAGTGTTGGTGGTTTAAAGTTCTCTGCACCAAAAAAAGGTCTTCTGGAATTGCCATGTAAGCAATCCCAGAAAGTTTATTCTTATACAAACACTTCTATTTTAGTAGAGCAAAATGAAATTTCATCTTTCCTTAATATATAGAGAAAGTTGATTTCTTAAAAACGTAGTTTGAATTGACCTTGCCTATAATGAGATAAAAACATAAATGTGCAAGTCTTATATAAGTTAGAAAACATTTAACCAAATATATAATGTTTATTGATATATAATTCCAGGGTTACCAAACTTCTTCTTAAACTACCTCAAGGCCAAAATTAATAAGAGTTCTATGGTTTTCTTGTACTTTTTATTTTAATGCTTTGATGTGGAAAGCGTATATGTCAAACTAGTTTGACCAGATTGCCAGAGCAGGTTTTTTCAGCTTATTGGCCTATTTAGCTGCACTCACTTTTTCAACTACTTTGGCTTTTTAAGTCATTTATTCAATTTTTGTTTGTTTTTGAGGCAGAGTCTTACTGTGTAGCCCAGGCTGGCCTTGAACTCCCAATCCTCCTACCTCAGCCTCCCAAATACTAAGAGTACATGCTTCCATCACTCCTGGAAGTTACTCACTTGTTGTTGTTTTTATTTTTTTAACTTAGCCTGTTTTTATAAGCTCAGCAGATTGTTCTCTTTATATTCTTAAGAACTTCTCGAGACTTTGGCCTGAATTCCTGGGCATAGTATTGGAGGAAAGGGCTACATTAGCCATCTTCTGGATGAAAAACAAGGTAGAAAATGTAGAAATCTATATCTAACATCCAGAATGGACACACTGGCCAATGACTGTGGATATAAGATGGTGAGGGCTAATAAATGAAAGAGTTGAAATGATAATCTGTCAGTACTGTGTGTGGTCGTGTTCATGGGAGAGGAAGTCTCATGTCTGCTTCAAGGGCCCTGTGCTGAATATATGTCTTTCTGTGGACTCTCAGAGTGCAGATTTGCAGATCAGTGGCAGTGGTAGTGTGGCCACGGATTTAATTTGCACTGCCATCATTGTGGTCATCAATTAAAGAGAAGAGGGATGTAGAAAAGTAGTTGGAGAGCAATCAGTACCCAGAGTCTTTTCCAAGAGGATTGATTCAAGGGAGAATTTCATGGTGACATAGGATGTCCTCTGCAGTTTTGAGGCTGGCCTGGACTAGCCTGTTGTAATTCAAAAGCAGATTAAAGCGTTTGGACAGATTTGATCTGTTCTTATACTGACTCATTACAATGAAGAGAAACAGACTTAGCGGATTACTCTGTGATGAATTTCAGCACTTCTGACTTCATTGAGTTGATTTAGAGCTAAGGCAAATATTTTAACAGTTGTAAAATTACTGAAGAGATTAATGCTAGAAGCTCTCTAAAGCCTTAACATTTAAAAGATACATTGTTATGGATGGGCATATATAACAAGTCAAGGAAAATAGAAGGATTCAGTGAATTACAAAAGTAGAGTATTAAGAAAAACTCTAGATGGTTTGTTTTAGAGGCTTATACCATCCAATGCCTTTTTTAAAAGCTAGTTGTCCATTGTTCCTGCTTTTTTTCAGTCTTGATGGCATTTGCTAACTCAGTGCTTCTAAATTGAATTCTGGCACCAAACTGAAATAAAGCCATACTGGTGCTTTTAAATGGCCAGTGTTGTTTAGGTGAAACTTAGCATTGTAAATACTTGTATATGTGTATCCATTCCTGTCTCCCAACTCAGATACCTCCCATGTCATAGGGAATGGGAAAGCAATCTGTTTCCCAAGTCCTTTGTGCCGTTGTCTGGGCAATACCATCTTTATTTCCTGCTTTGTGATGAAAACTGTGCATTTGTGGCTCTTCACAGGTCACCGACAAGGAGCGGGAGTTTGCTGCCGCGGCTGCAAAACAACTTGAGTACCAGCAATTTGAAGACGATAAACTTTCTCAGAAATCATCTAGCAGTAAACTCTCTCGGTCTCCTTTAAAGATCGTCAAGAAGCCAAAAAGCATGCAGTGCAAAGTGATACTTCTGGATGGGTCAGAATATACCTGCGATGTGGAGGTAAGTGTGGATTTTAAAGCTTCTGAGTAGTAGATGGCAAGAGCTGGGGAATGGTGGCACAAAACATGCAACACGACTATTTCCAGAACTCTGGAAATTTACTCTGTAAATCAAGAATTATTTCCACCTCCAACAGGGAACCAGATAACTAAAACTATGCATAGTGTCTCAAAAGTTATAATCAAAAGTAAAATAGGACCTTAAGTCAATGTCAAAAAAAAAAAAAGAGATGGAATCTCTTAACACTTTCCATGATAAGAACAAAAAACATTTTAAGGCTTAAAAATGTACTTTAATGTCCTGGCTATGAACTATGATTTAAATGAATTTTATTTACCCTTTCTATTTGCATAATTTATGACCAAGTCCCCCTGTGTAAATTCTGTAGTATTGGCCATGAAAGAATTTTTTTTTAATTTAAAATGAAACTATAAAATTTATTAAAATACAGCTTCCACATGGACACCAAGTTTCCAGAGGAGTCTATCAAATTAGAAAGAATTCAAAGAAGTAGGAAGAGCTGAGTGTCATATTTGGGATATTATTATTGTATGGAATGGTCAGATGAATTCAATTATTTAATATGGGTGAAGAAAAGATTGGGGTTGGGAAAGAAAGGGTTGGGGTCTTTGTATATAGGAAAGGCTGTCATAGGAAGAGTGTAAGTCAAACAACATGGTGACTCAGTGCTGAATCTCCAAGCTGCCTCCCTAACTCTAGACCCTCTCACCTGCTCCAAGACTCAGCTGTGAACCTGGAGAAATAATATTCTTCTCCTCATAGGAGATGGTGGGCATCAGATACAACAGCAAGTGTCTAACTGCTTGAGCCACTTGTATTAATCATTGGTATTGTGGTTGTTGTTGAAGGGCAAATGAACATGATTTGTTGACACCATCATCACACCACAGCAAATGCCACATCCACTATGATGATACCAGAATGGCAGGCTCAGGGTCAGCATTCAGTCCAGGCTGGACTGTGCTGTGGTACTGCCTGCTGCCCTATCATTCCAGGCTCATTGTCCGGTCCTTTTGTACCTCATTTTGCCCACATTGGAAGGCAAGGAAGAAAGGCAAGGGTCCTGAGTAGGAACTGAGGAAAACAAAGAAATCTAAGAGGGCTGGTGGAGTGGGTCAAGTGGTACAAGTGCCTGCCTAGCAAGCGTGAGGCCGAGTTCAAACCCCAGTGCCACAAAAAAAAAAAAAAAAAGAAAAAAAAAATCTAAGTGGTTTTAGGAGATTAGCTGTGATCTGCATAAAAATAAAACACACTGAGTCTATCATTTTTTAGCTTATTTTTATGCAAGCTTCAGTCTGGGCATGCCTAATTTAAAACCTTTGTGTTGTGTATGTATATGTGAGCGTGAGCATTTTTAGGATGGTTCTTAGATTGCTACTCTATTATAAAGTTAATATCTAAAAAACTGGGCATGCAAAAGTCCCTTATCTCAGCCAGGTCTAACTGAAAAGCAAGCACTCATTAGATAACTTTCAAATACTTGGTACTAAAGAACAAAAGATCATTTAAAAATGAAGTTGTGTAAAACTGCCTGATTAGATGTGGACAAGGATCTTAATCTGTTATTCTGTCTTTTTTTCTTTATTCATTTATTCATATGTGCATACATTGTTATTCTATCTTTACAATTTGATTTGTAAAGAGAAACAGTTTTTTTTTGTACAGAGAAACAGTTTAAGATTTTTACCCTTTCTATTTGTATAATTTATGACCAAGTCCCCCTATGTAAATTCTGTAGTATTGGGCATGAGAGAATTTTATATGAGCAGGTCCGGACTGTGGAATGGCTCGTGATAGAGTGCCTGCCCAGCAGTGAGGCTGAGTTCAAAGCCCAGTACTACTAAGAAAATAAAGTAAAATGAAATAAATGACCACATCCTGCTCTTGCTCAGGAATGAGTGATTTTAAGAGTACACACTGTGGTGGCCATGGACCTTCCATATGAAAGGGCTTCTCCTCTTTGTAGTTTCTTCGTAAAGAAAACTAAAATTCCTCTGGGGGGAGGGGAATTTGAGTGACTTTTGTCAGAGATGTATAGCAGGACCATGTAAGCAGGTAGAACAACACAGCCTGTCAGCAGCCATGAAGATGGATGGTTGTTTGGTTCTCTGAGTGTGGCGGGACAGACGTGCACATGAACTCGAGCTGTGGGAGCAGGTCTGTGTGGGCAACAAGGAGAAGTGGCTTATTTTAGCAAGGTACTTCAATTTCAGATTCAGAGCTCACTCTTCCCACCCCAGCCCCTGTCCTTGAAACAGGGAGGTACATCACATTTCCGTGTACACCAGCCTCTTCCTCACAGGCTTCCACACTTTCCACCGGTGGAGAATCCTCTTTCCTCCTGATAGCCCACAGCTAGCCAACAGGTTCCCAGGTTCCCCATTCATCTAGATCTCCTCATACCACCCGCGTAGCTCTCCAGCTGTGTTTTGCATAATGTACATTTGTTCCCTGTCCTTCTCTTGCAAAGAAGATTGAAATTCGTTTCATGTTGATAGTGTTATTTAGGATGGGGATAAGTGGAGGGCTACTAAATTACTACAAATTGCAGGAACAGAAAAAATTCAATAAATTCTTACATCAAAAGTTACTTAATCTGTCATAGACTGATTTGTAGAAAATTCAGTCATCCTGTAGCTTTACAGACATTAATGGGCTGCTATGTTTTTGCTGTGCACAGATGTATTTCTTACATTTTGCTGGCTCTGACTTTGGCTGGTTCATCCAATCACAGTACCCAGTGACTGATGTATATGTTAATTCTGGAAATGGTGGATTCTCAATAATGTACAGTAGCTTGGTTTTCCTGAGGCTTAAAAGAGTTTTGTAACCTTGACAGAGACTGCATTTTTCTAGTATAGATCTGCTTTCTGGAAAAATTGATCTAAGTCAACAGAAGCTTTTTTCCTTAGCTTTAAGGAAAGTTGTTCTTTTGATTACATTTATGTAATGGGATCCTCAAGTCATGGCTGCCAGAGTTTTCTAAGGAAGATTCTAGTGAAATGTTGGGCCTAATGCTTCAGAGCATAGTGAGGATCATGCTGCCAAGTTTGATTTAGTTTCCTTGCTTAAAATTCCTTCTAGGCGATCACAGTGACTTTCAGTGCAAACTTTTTATTTTGGAATTCACTTCAGATACAACTCATTCTTACTTTTACTGTCACAGTGGACAGCACGTTGATCAGTTCTTTTCCTTCAGAATAAGATAGTTTTGCAAGTTTGACAGATTCTCAAGGGAGCTGTTCAATGGAAAAACTTTTGCCAGCAGAATATTTTCAGTTTCCCAGCAGACATTGGTAGTAGAAAAATAATGTGCTCACTGCAGACATCTTTGTGGAAAAGATGGAGACACCTGAACGTGGTAAGATTAAATAGCTTCGTTTGTTGCTAGTTGACTGATTAAGAAAGGTCGTGAATCAGTGGTGTGCTTCTCAGGTGGCAATGAGCTGCTAGTGGAAAAAGCATTTGAAAACACCTCTTGTTTTTTTTGACATAAACTCTGGAAAGCAAAGCATGACTGGAAGGTACACACGGTTGTCCTAGGTGAACAGAGGTTGAGAGGCTCTGCTCTAGGGAGGGAAGGTGTCCTCCAGTGTTACTCTCTTCTGAACTCAGGTTTTATCAAAGAAGGGTGATGTCACAGAAGCACAGCTGGACAGCCATTTTAAGTGATGATGAGCTTTTTAAGAGAAGAATGCACTAGTGTCCCAATCCCTTTCCTAGTGAGGCAAAGCTGGGGAGGTCATTTTCAGCAGGAATGGAGGTAAACTGCACTCCATTAGAAAGGATTGAGTGCCAAGTAGAAATGTGTGGTGAGAGGGACAATCTGCCCTTGTTAACAGTTTGGGTGAAGCCTGGTCTTTGCTTTAAACTCAACATGAACCGGAGGTGAGGCAGAGCTGTCAAGACAACTCATGCAGTTACCAGCTGCTTCCATGGGCGTGTGGCTTTCAGAAGGCACTGAGCTCTGTGTTCCTCAGTCTTGGCACATCCTGTCTGTGTGACTCTTGTTCACATGGGTGCTCCAAAGTCACCAGACTGGGGCAGGCTGACATACCTGTCCACTTGTAACCCATGTGATTTGGAGAAGCTTCCCTACGTTTTCTGAATCCTAGTGTCTGCTGTGGTTTAAATGTATCCCTCAAAAGTTACGTGTGGAAAACTTAATCCCCAAGTTCATGTGTTAATGACATTTGGAGGCAGTGCCTGGGATGTAATTGGGATTAGTTGAGGTTATGGGGTTAGGCCCATGATGGCATCAGTGGCTTTCCAAGGGGAGGAAGAGGAGCCTGGGCAGCAGGCTTACCCTGTCTCACCAGCAAGCCATGTTATGAGGCAGCAAGAAGGCTCTCACCAGATGGTGGCACCATGCTCTTGCACATACCGCCTCAAGACCCATGAGCTAAATAAACTTCTATTATTGTAAAGTATCTAGCTTGAGTATTTTGTCACAGCAACAGAAAACAGACCAAGAGAGTTTTCTCAACAGATAAATGAGGATGAAAAAGACTTGTCTCAAAAGGTATTACTATTATTTTTTAGGTGGTACTGGAGTTTGAGCTTAGGACCTTGTGCTTGCTGGGGAGGTGCTCTGTCAATTGAGCCACACTCCCAGCATTGTTGCTTTATTTTTCTGATAGAGTCTCATGTTTTTGTCCAGGAGTGGCCTTGGACCACAATTCTTTTACCTATTCTCACCTCATAGCTAGAATTATAGGTGTGATACATCACACCAACTTGTTAGTTGAGATGGAGTCTCACTAACTTTTTGCTGGGCCCAGTCTCTACCTCCCAAATAACTGGGATCATAAGCACATGTCACCACACCTCAGAAAGGAGAATATTATTGAGACTATTATATGTTGAGAATATTAAAGCAAATAATTTAATATGTTTTGAGATACATAGCATGTTCTTAGCAAAGGGGAACTGTTTTGTAATGATAGTAAGAACAATGAACTTTGACTTGAGTTTATTCA